CAACCGTTTCATGTGCAATCTCCCCCTGCTTCCAAAGGCTCCAAAGCAGTGGCTTAGAAGGGATTTTCTAAGGGGGGAGCTTAAGACTTATAGAGCTATGGGGTGCAGCTACATAATATAGTGTTAGAGCCCCCCCCCAAGAGAAAACTCCCTACGCCACTGTTTCTTCTACTTCGTTGCTCTTTAAGCTCCCCTATGCTACTTCTTCTTCTGCTTCTTTTACCTCCATAGACTTTTTCTGCTTCTTCCTCTTCCTGTCGGATAGAAAAAGTAAAAAAAATAATGTTTTCGCTGCTCGTGTATTTGTTATCGGTTATTTAATGTGATTTATTTGCGTGCGAATGTTGATTTATATCGCCTGAAAGGCAGAAACGAGCAAAGAGTAACCAGTAACAGCCAAACCAAAAGCGAAGCACCAACAACAACAGCAACATTGGCAACAATAGTATATCAACAATAACAACTCTATAGTTTATCACGCACATGGGCACTTAAGTGGGTCAAAAAATAATTGGCACGCCCCCTTTGGCGCCCACTTACAACAGCTTAACTCAGACTACAGTGCTTCGTCCTTGTCTTCCCACATTGACCCAGTTGGGTGGGCGCGCCATCGGTCGGTTCGAGTTGTGAGTTTCAGTTGGGTTTTGGCCAAGGCCAAGTTGGCTTCACTCTTCACTCCAATTACCATGCGGCACCACTCACAATTGGCTTCTGCTTCTGCCAATAATCCAATCAATTTTTTAACAACCTGTGTTTTAACAGTTTGATTTGCATTTGGGCAGCGGTTCAGGGAAAGTTCAAAGTTTAATAATTAAGACTTTTCTTTTTTGCCTCTTGGTAATAAATGGGCAAGGGAGTGAGTGAGGGTTGTGTACTTTCAATAATTAAATGGGGTTTCAGTTTTTAATAAATAAAAGGGGGTATTAATTTGCCTTTCTTACTTCAAGCCTAAAAGGCAACTTACTTTAGGAAACTGAATTTTATAAACCCTTCCGGTTTGCACTTGACTTATAGGATCGTATCAGAAAACCATTATAACTAAGCATAGATATTTTAATTACATAATACATTGAATACATTTTCCATTTTATGTTATCTAGTAAACTAAATGTATTTGTTCAATCCAAATTTTATATTCTAAAACCTCTTATTTCCTATAATTATTAAACTACCGACTCACTCACATGTTTAGAAATTGCTATGAAAACTATTTCAACTGTTGAAAACTCTGGGGATTTCCACAAAACTCATGTTTAGCATTGACTTTCACTCGAGTGGTGCTTTCCGAGGCTCATTATTATTATCCAACTTAGTTCATGACAACAGTTTTGGCCCCCGCTTTTTTGTTGTTATGGTTATCAGTTGCCACGCCTTTCGCACGAGCTTCAATTGATTGTCTGTGGCGGTCGGATTCATGCGAATTTTATTCTCATCGTGTGAAGCACTCGTGGCCTTTTTGCCCGTGAGCTCAGTTGCATTTTGGGGAAGCAACAGGTGAGGTATTATAGCACAGGGAAAAAATATAAATCATTTCGGTACTGCTTTCCCTTTATATTTTAATATATATATATTGGTTTAAAAAAAGCATTACAAAGCATTCTGAAGAATCTTAAGCTATAGTCTAGTAGACATCATTTCCCTAAAAGATCTCCAAATTGTTTACTGTGTCGTTTAATGAACTCATAGGCTGGTGCGCCTCCATTAGGCTGTGGCATGTTGCATGTAATGCATAATTAGTTACCTCTTAATCTGCCCACGGTGGGCAATCGCGTGTGTTTGCGGAATTTCGTAGCAATCCCGGGAACGGGAACGGGAACGGATACGGATGCATCATTATCATCATCATTGCCGGGCGTCATCCGTCGTCGCTTTCGCGTTCGCGTTTTATCCACGCCCAACTGCACAGGGATATACTGTTGATGAGAGGAGTGAGAGAGCAAATTGTAGAGAACGAGAACGTTTATATCGGTTTCAATTAAATTTAATTTGTATCGTGTTTTAATTAAGGTGCCCGCCAAGAAATCTCTAATTAATCTGCTCAACAACAACAACCAACAACAACATCCACTGCCACTAGGCTAATAAGAAGTGATTCATTCAATCTCAATTGAAGACAATTAAGCAATTGAAATGCTGTGAACAAAAAATGATCTACATTTATGCAATAGAAATATACAAAGTATTTATTTGAGTGCTCAGTGAACAAGTGAACTGCTGCTTGCTCAAGCTCAAAATGGCTCAAAACCTGACCATGTTGGTGGGCGATGGTAGCAGCAACAGCACCAATAACAATGCCAAATCTAATAATGGCAATGAAAATAGCAACAGTTGCAATACATCAACAGCCACAGTCAATTTCAAGCCAAAGGATACGAATGGCTGGAAGGATTACAAGAAATTGAAAACGTATCTCATTCTAAAGGATCAGCAAAGTGAAAAGGTAACAGGGATAACATGATCGTAATGAGATATCTCAAAAATTACATATATTAAAATTTTAAACAAGAAAGGAAACTTGCTTCGATTCTTGCATTAATTCAATTCCCAAAGCTTTCCTAGATTAGTTTTTGTTAGGTTAATAAGTCTGCATACTACATTTAAATAGTAAAAAAACTTCTTCTGGAGATGTCTAGATCGCCTCGGCTATGAACGCTGATCAAGAATATATATGATTTATAGGGCCGGAAATGACTCCTTTACATGCTTCTGACTAAAATTATAAATTGCACAGTAAGGGTATAGTAAAGTAAAGCATATCTTATTCAAGGAAAATAAAATTTATAAATAGTTCAAATAACCCATTCTATATCTAAAGAAAACAAAGCCAATCGCTTGTTAAAAATGCCCTGCTTTTGGGTATTAAATATAGCCATGCCATCAATCAATATTGACCCAAATAGCGAAAAGCAAACAATTACTTATAAAACTTTAATTGTTAAAAAGATAAGAAAGGAAAACATAAACCATAAGCTATCGTGATTCAGAGTACTTTATAATCCCAAGGAAATGGGAAAAAATACCATTTATTAGTAAAAGTTACTTTTGTCGAGTTAAATACTTATTTATATCTACTTAAAAAGTGACTGAAAAAGTTTCCAACAACTTTTTTTCACATCAAACAAACATTGCGCTTTAACCGCAAGCCAGATTTCCTTCCTCCCACTTTGTTTTATAATAAACAAAACAAACGGCTACAAAAGTTATGAAAGAGAACAGAAAAAAAGCAGAAGAAAAAAAGTTGTTCATAAAAAGTTATTAAACGGTCATGACCCCCATTTTCGAAATGCTTATCAGCGGCATGAAAAGCACAAGAAAACAAACAAGAATGAGGTCTAAAAGAGGTTCTTTTTTTCTTTTATTGTTGGGGGTTTGGGGAGAAAAACAGGGAAATAAAGTCAGCAAGCATAAAAAAACGAAGAACAGAAAAAGTATGTATATATATGTATTTATATATAAAAAATATGACGAACTTGTTCTTCCACAAAGCCAACTGACTGACTGACAGACGTAAGTGGGCGGGGTCTGGGCGGAACAGGAGCAGGAGACGCCATCGAGGCCCCTGGATCAATAAATATAGATGACATGGCACTGTCCAGATTGATGTGATGTGTATGCGAGCCGCATGACAAGGCAAACAAACAAAATGGAAACAGAAACAGAGACAGACAGACAGACACACACAAATACTCCCCGTAGCTATAGATACTATCTGTTTGTATCTGAAAGTTACCCATGCCACGGTGTCCGTTGTGTAATCAAAATGCGCGCCTATCAATGTCAAAAAATCTGACACAATGAAATAAGACGAGTAAACAAACAATTAAATTTACTTAGTGCCTAATAAAATATATGTGTACGAACGGCTGGAACCCCTGGCCACTGTTTTTTCTAATCTGTGTGTGCAAAGTAAAGATGCATGGGTATAGATAAAGATGTAGTAACTGTGAAAATTTGCAAAGAACCATTATATTCGAAAATATGCAAAATATTGAAATAAAGCAAGAGAGTGTACATGGTCGTATACGTAATATGCCGCCTGTCATTGCCGATGACGACGAGTTGTTTTGTTTTGTTTTCGGTGGCAACTGAGGGTGTATCCAATGTGTGTATATATTAATTTGTATAAACACAGATGACGTTTGAGTAACGGCGCCCCCATGGGTTTGCCACAGCCGGGGGCAACTATGGTTTGACAGGTCGTATACGTAACGCACTTTTGCCGGTGAAGCCGAATGATAGGTTAGGAAGTGAAAAGGTTATTTATTTGCAAGTCCAACTCAATTTAAATGATATTTTTATTCAAGAAGAGTTCTGAAAGTAAATATTTTTCTGTTTTATCAGATATTAATATTTAGATAATAAGAAAGATTACCATTCTTCCATAAAAATACTTTATTTTCTGATTGATTCAAAAGAAAAATTAACTTTACTTTATTTACTGATTGATTCTTTAGTTAATCCTCAGAAAGCTTAGTATATTCTTTTTATTAAGCGTTTATTGTTGTTAGCCTGAATGTAAATGTTTTATTCATGGGTGTGTCAATCTATCAATGTATCAACACAAATGTAATTTATCAAAGTCGTTTCTGTGTCAGCATCTTGAACAATTATGAACATCAAAGCCGGCTTGTGCTCATCAAGATTTAGCAGTTTATGGAAACTGAAATCCAATCAAAATGTTCACATAGCTTCAGGCAATTAATGCAATCGAAATCTATGTATGATTTCTATTTTGGGTGTTTTTTTTTTCTTCATAAACATTGCTATTTGGCATTTATTCACACGGTGTATATAGAGGTCGTCATTGCGAATATGACTTAACAGTTGTTTGCTAAAAATCTCAGCTTTGTTAATCGATTTTAAATAGAACCATATTTGTATACTTCACACCTATATGACATGATGTCTCTTATATAATTCTGCTAAATGATACTGCAAATTTCCGGATCAGGAGTTGTGCTATTTATGACTAATACACATATATCCAAAATAATTTACAGGCCTCCAACAAACCGGAATCGGAGCGTTCGTATCAGCTGCGAAAACGCTCCACGCCCGCGGCCGAGAGAACCACCTTTGTATGCTACACCTGTGGTACGGACACGCCCTCATCCCAGCTGCGACTGGTCTACTGCTGTCCGAATGCCGAGAGGGAACCCTATTATCCATTCATCAAGACCATGAAGGTCTACAAGAACGCTAGTCCAATTAGTCCGCAGGGTGAGTGCATTAAGTACAAGTTTTGTCATCTGAACTAACGCAATTATCTTGTGGCTTCCAGGCATGGTTCAGGTCTGTTCCACCTGCAATGAGAAGCACAGCAACCTGGCGGAAGGTGGTCCCCCGCCAGCCAACTCCACCATTTCCCACTCGGCCGTGGGTGGCGTTGCCATTGGCTCACCCAGCGCTGGACAATCCCTGGAATCGAACTCTGTGGTATATAGTGCCAGCGGAGCGATAGCTGCACCCTTTGGGGGTCGTAATTCACCATCGGAGAAGTCCCTGGCCAATTCAGACTCCATGAGTAATGTGCGATTTAGGGTAAGGAATCTAAAATCTGGTGATAAGCGCAAAAAAAGTGCCAAGGTTATGGGGATAATGATCAGCACGTTTCCGCTCTAGTGAATTCTTTAGAATTTTTGATGATTACGAATCTTTGAGAACTTAAATCTGACATAAGGTATTAAAAAGTCTTTTTAAAGGGTTGAATTTTTAAAGAAAATATGTAGTTTACCAAGACTTACTTAGGATAAAACTGTCTTCTTAAAAGAACCATAAGGAATAGCATTAGAAGATCAGTATATTTATTTCTAAAGAGTGCTACAATCTGATTATATAATCGCTTAGCTAGAAACAATTTCTAAATGGAAATAATTGAGCTTTTTTAAAGAAGAAACTAAGTGTTTAATAATATTGTACATTTCAAGTACACTTTCTCCCGATTTAACCCCTTCGAATTTGTCAATAGGTAAACATTCACACTGAAACCAATTCTAGAACTTCTAAGCCTTCATTTAGAAAGCTCTAAGTGTCTTGTAAATTCTATGCTTCTTATTTGAACCCAGTTCTATCGATTAGTATAGGAAATACTTTACTTAAACCAAAATCAATTCCGGACATTCGATTAGTTCGTTCTCACACACACACAGATGACGCAGTTAAATGGATCGATTGTCAATAACAATTTGTGCGGTGTACTCGAATGAGATTTTCATTTGCCTGCATCATAAATAATCCCACAAATACAATATACATACAATATATTATTCACAGAGTATCGGTTAAGTGCGCAAACATGGAAATTTACTAGGCGAGAGAGTTGAGTGCGCGGGAGATAATAGTTATGGTGGAAAAACAATGATTGCACTTATTACAGCAACTGGTGGGAGACAGAGCCACCGAGGAGAGAGGATCGGATCGGATGGGATCGGATCGGATCAGATCGCATGGGTCAGCAGTAGCACTCGAGTTGAGGCAGTGATAACATTGCCAGCGATTAGCACCACTCACTTGCCCCCTCTTGGGCATGGCGATAACCCAACTGAACCGGGCCCCATTAAAGTGCCAGGCGTCTGGTAGTGGGCACATAGTCAGCAGATAGACAGAGCCCGAGGATGGTTCACGACCTGAAATTGTTGAGTAATTCATTTGTAGCCAGAAGGCCGTTTGCAGAAAGAGAACGCTGCCAGATAGATAGATCGGCTTATCAGATGTGCTGCGGAAAAGCTATGGCTAATATAGCTTCGATCGTCAGCATGTTAACCAATTTGAGTCAACAAAATGTTGAGATTAGATAGCCGGAATAGCCCACGGCAACTCCGCATGTTCCATGCACACCTTCTGCTCATATTCTTGCTCCTGCTCCTCCTCGGCGGGAAAGGCAAATAAATATGGAGCAAGTGGTAAAAGGAGGAGGAGAGACCAAAATGAAATTATTGTTAAAACAAGAGAACGTATATTGCGGGGGGCAATAAAAAATAAAAACTGGGTAAACTTGGTCGAGTCAGAGTCGCCGGTTGGTTCTTTTTATTTTTTCCCCCCTTTCTGTCAGTTTAAGGCATCTGCTTATAACCGGTTTACTTGTCTGCCTTTTTATTTATTTTTATTTTTTGCTTAATTCTACTTAAACGCTTTTTATTTATAGCCGACTGTTGGTGGTTCTCATTGTTGTTGTCGCCAAGTTTTTAGTTTTATTTATTTTGCTTTAGTTCTCTTATTTTCTAATTTGAAATCTTGAAGCGTTTCGCCGCAGACAATTGAAAGACTTGTCGTCGCCTTGGTCGTAAATTATGACCATCTTCTTCATGTTGAGTTTACTCTTCATATTCGCACATGTATATTTCTTGGCATTATGTATATTTTATAAGTTTGTATAATATATTTGGTCAAATGTCTTTGTTTAATCCCCCCATTTGTTTGTGGGCTATTTGTATAGCTTAATTTGTCTTAAAGTGTGTTTTCTCTTTCAGTTTCTTGTTGATTTACTGTTTCGTTTTGATGATTTTAGTTTTGTGAGATTGTTTCCTCTGGCGATCTGTATTTATATTGGTTAAATAATGGCATTCTTTTAGTTTCTTTTCGGGAATTCCGCACATGATGTGTGCAGCCTTGACAGCGTCGAGTTGATTGACTTGAATAGAATTATAATGTAGGAATTATTCTAATGGTTTCGAAGCGAATAGCGATATGTTTTCATTGAGTTGTGTTGCCTCGGATTAAATAGAAACAGAATTTTGTCTTTAAACAGGTGCTGCCTGCTCTCATTTCGCTCTATTTTGTATATATCTGTGATCTATGGTTATGAACACTGAATAATACTGCGTGGAATATATGTATATTCTGGGCTTATTCAGGTCATTGCACAATCGGAGCAGAGTTTTCGAAACTCGTTTTCCCTTGCATAAAGAAACAGTAAACTGAAGCACACACATAAAATACGAAATTAAATATAGATAAATGCAAATATTTATCAGCACAGTAACTCAATATTTAAACAATTCTTTCCGAATTGTTTACATTTGCATTGTCTTATTTGTTGATTTCTGTTTTTGTGTTTTCTGTTTTCATTTTCATGGCAGAGCGTAGCTCTGGCTTAGTATTTGCATTACGGTCTCAGGGCTTTGAATTGCAAATGTTTGGCTTGGTTACCATTTATACATGCGACTAGGATCCCCTATCTGGCGACTGATATCCCCCAAGATAACGCAAATCATTTTATTAAAGGCTGTAAATGTATTAAGCTAAAGAGAAACACCTGCATTCAAGTCATTCAACTTGCTTGAGCACTAAATAATAACAATACAAGTGCTGCCTGATAATTACTAATCGAAATTATTAAACAAATACTGAGCTCAGTGGAGAAATAGATTTTCTACCCACAGAAAAATAACTGAAGAGCCCAGAATGAGTTAATAATTTTTTCGTTGAACTATAAAGAGTTCCCCCGCTTGACTTGAGGGCCCCTTGAATAACCAATTATATACAAATATGGACAGTGTTGACACACATCATGATGTCAAGTCATGTTGGTACAAAAAAAAAGTCTAAATATATACACTGACAAAATAAAACCTTTTTCAATGTTATAACATTGAGAACATTGAGTATATTTTAACAGAAAAGTATATCAAGATTAAAAAATACTGTTTTTGAGAATAAGTTTCATGATTAAAGTAGAAAAATGTTATAAAGTTAGGAAAAGTCGGATAATCACTGCAGCGCTCTACCTAGTACTTTATATAGAAAGTTATTTAGAAAAATTAAAGTTTTCCTTCTCGGCTTTAATATCTCTTCTCAAAAAAGAAAATTCGAAAGCACTTTCGTTTTGATTTCAAAAAAAGTTTTATGATCTGAACTAAGAAAATCAACATATTTAGGAAAGTCAAAGTTTAAATACCCTTATATATCGGAAATCTATCTATATCTATCCATAGCTTAAAATATTTAAATTTTTTAAGCCATATTTTTATAAGACTATTTTTTCGACTAATCAAAATTTAAAAAACTCATAACTAAGAAAAAAAAGGATTCATTTTAATCCGGAAAGTTTTCCTGTGTTAATTTTTATTAGATTAATAAAACTGCATAATAAATTAAACTTTTTAAAAAATGAAATTTTCAAAATTTTAACGATGTAACCCCTTATAAAATTTTGAAAAAATTAAAAACAAATTATTTTTTTCCTTGAGATGGCTAGATCGACTAGGCTGTTGAAGCTGATCAAGAATATATATATAGTTTATAGGGTCGGAAATGATTCCTTCACTGCGTTTTGAGCTTATGACTAAAATAAGAATTTCCTGGAAGAGTACATAAGCTCACATAAATTGATATCATCAAGAATTTTCCCAATTTTTCCAAGTGTACAGGAAAAGTCATATAAAGAAATTGTTCAGTGTCAACTTTGAACCTCAGCCACGATGATTGATATCATCTAATTAGTCCTAAACGAACCGAGATAAGGTGCTTTTGGCTTTGGAGAGGCATTCATTCGCTCTCGCCCTCGAAAATATATAAGTCGCAAAACCAATGGGAGATAAGTGAGCCGCGCACACAGTTCGAACTGGTTGGAATTGGTTTTACGGCAAAAGTGGAAACCCAGTCGAACGCCGGTCATAGAGTCGAGTGCCTACTCCTTGAATAGCAAATCAATTGTGTATAGAATATATTTAATAAAATTTGGTTTGGTGGGCCTTTTATTTCCCATTCCTATTTTCGCCTCTGATTAGATAGCATTCGAAACGTTAGTCTTTGCGGATCGTTGCGGCAGCTGGCATTCGTTGCGTGATATTCTTAGAACTAAATACACAAATAGCTAATATACAATCTGTGTGTTTTCGATTTCATTCCATCGTTGATAGCCCTACGAGACGAACTCAAACAATTCCAACTCAAACACGGCACGCGACCTCAAGCAAATTCGTCGCAGCGATTCGCGCCCAAATTCGCCGAGTTCCAGTCAAGGAGGAGCCATCGAGAATGGGCACGGGCAGTATCCGTAAGTGAATTATCCAAATACGACAGACAGACAATCCTTTAATCGTTATACATTTTCTCCTTTTACAGTTGCTCCATTTGCAAAGTGCTTTGCCCTTCAAACAAAATGGATTGGCTGTCCACCAGTGCCGAGCACATGAACTCCCATGCCATGCACTTTCCCTGTCTCAAGGCCAATGCTGTAACCAGCAATAATAACAATAACAATAATAATACCAATAACAACAACAACAATACAAATAACAACAACAACAACGAGCTAAACAGCAATCGCGTGTTAGCGTGCAAGGACTGCAAGGATTACTTGGCCAGCCAATGGGAATCGATGGATGCGGAACGCGTACCCCTCGAGCACAGAAGGTTCATTGAATTTGCATCCGATTCCCCAGGCTTAACTTGAAACGTGTCTAACTAACTGTCTCTTATTTTCCAGATACAACATTCCCTCGCCCATGCTGACCTCCAGCTCACCGAACGGATCTCGGCACGGCGCCATGAGCATCAACACTCCGCCCTCCACGCCATCCATATCATCGTCGACGCCTGCCAGCACCTCAATATATTGTTTCCTTTGCGGCCTGCACTCGGACTTGACGTTAGCCAGGGTACTCTATGCCAGCAAAGAGGTAGAGTTTCCAAAAAAATGCAACTAGCAATGAGTAATTGGTTAATACTAGTTAGCTATCTGATTATGGAGTACCTTTTCCATCACTGTGTTAGCGAAATTCTTTATTGGACAAAGAAAGGAAGCTTTCTACAATCAATATTGAAGATTGATCGATTATAGAACATTTACTCGATGATATATCAAAAGAATTTGTCATTGTTTGTTAGTTAGGGATATATATTGAAAGGACATGATATGATCAGAAAGTGTGTGTACTTAACTTCTACGATTTTCTTGAAACATTTCTGTAACATTACATATTAATCTTAGAAAGGTTTATAATTTTGGCTTAAACTTCTCTAAACTTAATGATAAACTGCTAAAAAGCTCGTAATATAATTTCTATCTATATTCTTTTACGAAAATCCTCCCTAAAGTTGGATTTAAAGTTACACAATAATTAATAATTCAACAGAAGTACTCTATAAATATTACGACCCATAACTACTTAACTGTATGTACTGCTAAACAAATTCAATTGAAAACATACGTCTTTATAGATTCAATGTAGAAATCAACAAACCTCTAACTCAAATATTAAAACAAATTATTAATTTGAACCAACTAGCTTGCCAGCTACAATCATGCACAGTTAAGTCTTAGATTGACATTAACTAGAGGGTATTAAGAGTTTAATTTGTGCATTGGCTCAACTCGTAAGACCTTCAATCAATTTAGGCCACATTAGATGTATATGTATGCATAATATTTGCTGTATCGCTTGGCCAAACATGTAATTTGCTGATAAGTTAAGGTATTTCAATGCATACACACGTCAGTCAATGAATGTTCTAACCGAGTGCAAAGTAGGAATATATATCGAGAGTAATAGTTGAAATTAAATATCAACAAACATGTCGCGTTGAATATCATATTGAAAGTATTGTAAATTATAAAATTATCATTGAAAAGTACCATTTTATATATCGAAAAGTATCGTATTTCAACGTAAATCATATTTTTCATCAATGTAAAGGGTAAATGTTATTAATTTATAATTTTCAAAATAATACTTATTGTATTCAAAGTGTATATATATAACAAATTATAGTTTTAGCCAACATATATCAACTTTCGCGTCAAATATCGATACCGTGTAGATATATAGATATTTTTAGTTCAGAGTAAACAAAATTGTTACATGATATGCGAGCAGATTGCTTCAGATAGTGCTTCCTATGGGGCATATCAAATATTATTAATATTATCTCAGTGCTGTGTTGTTCATTAATTATCGAATGAAACTGTTTTATTAAGTAATGTGAGGTGTTTTAGTTTATTTCGATAGAGAAACATAAAGATAAGTTCAGATTAGATAGTATGTAGCTACAAGAGATGTTTGATTTAATATTTCCTCCCATTATTGTGACTTTAATCATTAGGCTTATGCAAATTGTTACCAATTATATCATTATAATTAAATTTCCTTTATTATTTCAGGGTTCGAGGCCTTATTTTCCATTGTTACTCAAACATAATTCATTACCCAATGCTGAGCAACTGAGAAACAATTCGGCCCTGGTCTGCACCTTTTGTTACCATTCCATGTTGAATCAGTGGCGCAAGTGAGTCAGCTGCATTTAATATCCTCGTACATATGTGAAAATATTAATTAATTGACTTTACCCTATCTCACCAGATATGAGGCCCAGAGTCCCAGTGTGAATCCAGCGGATCGTAAATACAATTGGCATGATTACAACTGTCACCTGTGCGGCATAACGACTTATAGGAAGCGTGTCCGGGCATTACCAGTTAACGAGTTTCCATTCGTGAAGCACCAGAAGAGTGACGATGGCCTGCTTTTGGAGAATGGAGAATATGCGGTCGTCTGCCTGGATTGCTACGAGAGCTTAAGGTGGGGAATTCTTTTTAGAATGGGTTATCAATTGATCCAGGAATTTATATATATATAATTAATTACTTATTGTAATTACAGACAACAAGCCTCGCAGCACGATCGCTTTGGGGTGCCCATTTCCAGGCGGGCTTACAACTGGGTGCCACAACCACCACCGCCAGAGGACAGTCCCGAGGCCGCAGTGGCCCGTCTGCCCTGTGGCGAGCGTTCCGATCGTATTGTAAGTATATATATATACACATGTAGTAAAGTAATGCAACCTGACCCGTGTCCATGTGCCAATTTTCGCCCCACAGCTCATTAGCAGTGCCTTGAGGCCCGTGCCAGGGAAGAAGACCACATCGCCCAAGCAGTACGACAAGTCAAAAGAAGGTAAGTGACTCCAAATGGGCAGCCAGCCAAAGGGCGGGGGGAAGCCTCATTCTCGGCTTCTGGTAACGCGAAACGCTCCTCAAGCACCCCGAGGTTAGCGGGTTCAAGTGAAACCCAATTCGCGTCAATAAATTTCAATTGGTTTCACTTAACTTTGAGTGTTCAGCGGCGTTGGCCGCTTTGCTCGGACAGTTCAATAATAGCCTCAGCTCGGCCCGTTTAGCCTTTCAAAGAGCAACATTGCTCATTGGTTTGGGTGGCAAACCCAAGCAAACATTTGCTGCATTTAGCTGGCACCGAGATTATTTTGCATATATTGACGTCGAAGAGGGATAAGTGCATTTGTGGGGAATCTGTTCGTTTAAGTATTTGACTTTTAAACTGATTTTGAAGTAGCTTTGTGTAATGTGGAATTAATATGTTGAAATAATATGAGTTTTAATATGGTTTCGGAACATAATAAAAGATAATTTATATCTGTAGAAGGAGCAAAGTTCATTAAGGACCAAGTTTCTTATTGTTTTTGAAAACATTTATCGGAAAGATAAGCTGTCAAATTGCATACATTTTTAAATTGCTAAAGATGAATGTTTGTTAGACAGATAATTTAGAAGAATGGAGAAATGAAAGGGACACTATAAACTGACACTGCACCCTTTCTGCGCTTTACAGCACACTCTTTTTTGTTTACAGTATGCTTTTTGAACTTTACAGCACACTTTTCCGGCTTTACAGCATATTTTTTAGGTTTTACAGCTCATTTCTTGCACCTTACAGCCCACTTTCTGCGCTTTACAGCCTATCTTAGTAGTTAACTTCCGGTTAAGTCAGTTCAATAAGAAAAGCAAATGGAATTTCCAGATAGTTTGTCTGAACTCTAACTAAAACAAAGACGACAACTGACACCTTAACTTGATCTTAGGAAACCTAATAAGAGCTTCCAATTATTTAAAATAATATATTTTCAAGATATAAATCCGCTAAAACTTTATATTAGACTCAAATTTGATTATCAAGATCTTTATAAATGTTGCCATTTTGTCTTAATTGAAACAAAAATCAAATTTCTCTTTCAATTTCGTTTTTCAAATTCTATTTCTTGTTTTTTTCGGAATATTAGTTTGCTTTCGTCCCCCAAGAGTCCTTAAGCCACCACAACCACACGCACACTCTCGGAAAAATCTCTGCAAAAGCTTCTCTAATTGCATTTTCTCCGAATACGAGAGTGCAGAGGAAAAACTTCAACCTGAATAAGAAATCAACTGATTAAATACCCAATAACAAGCTGAGACCATGCTGCCCCCATGTAGTCCTAGCTCTTGTAATAAATATTGATTTTTTATGAATTGCAATTTGGGGTGGTCGGGGGTGTGGCTTTCGTCCTCTTTCCTCACTTATTTATGCAGCAGCAATGGCGTCGGTAAACTTCTTCAATAAAATGCCAAAAAGGAAACATCATAAAAATAAATAAACAGAGAAACCACAAGCACATACACAGAGACGTCGTACTGTGTATATAGCTTTGCACACGAATTTTTATGCAGCTACCCCAGCACAGTACTCACACACCCACACACCCACACACACACACACACACACACACAGAGACACTCTGAACCCATACACCCAACTCGAAGGACCCACACAAAACCACCTACAAATGCCACTTCCGACAACAGCAATCCCCAAACGAAAGGAGAACGAACGAACGAGCGAGCAAGCACAAATAATAAAAGCAACAGCATAAAGTATTTCGAATTGAATTACTCCGTGTTATCCTGTCAACCATACGAAAACACTCAAGACCATTCAACATGCCACACGCTTCCTGTGCGACGCCACCCACCAACCACCACCCACCACACCCATTTAGTCGGGTTTTCCTCCCCCCCTTGGGATCTATGGAGCACCCATTCCACCCACCGTTTAAGGAGTTGGCATCGATTTGCAAAAAGTATATTACCACCCGGGGAAAGGACGAGACTTGGGGGCTTAACTTCACCCCCTCCCGGCAGCGTTGATGCCGCCAATAAAATGAAGTTATGCTTGACGGGGGTTGGGGGGAGTGTATTCGGGGAGTTGAATAAGTAAACATAAAACCACTGAATTTACGCTTATTGCACCCGCAAACATTTTGTTTAACACAACAACAGCTCATGCTTTTTCTCACTCTGTTTTTCTCTCTGTCCCACTCTCCGTGTATGGCCATCTCGCTCGGCACAGTGGGTTGTGTGGGTGTCATTTCCGGCCTCAATTTCAAAAGAAGCTCAAATTTCCACACAATTTTCCGGCTTCGCTCTTTGGCACTTTGCTTCGTGTCGACTCGTCTCATCTCGCCTCGTCTCGTTTCGTTTCGTTTCGTTTACTCTCGGAATCGTTTTTTTGCACCCCCAATGTTGTTGGACCCTTATACCCCTACCCCTAACCCCTAACCATTCCCTTACCCTTGCATTTTCCCTCTCTCTCTCTCTCTCTATTTACCCACCGCCCCCTCTTGACTGACAGCCGTTTCCTCGTTGCCACTTGTTCAGTCAGTCACTCAGCAAAGACTCAACCCCCTGGAGCTGGCAGCCCGCAACCCCTAACCACAATTCTGTTCTGTTGCCGCCTTTGGTTGTGCTTTTTTTGTACTTTTGCCACATCTTGTCGTTGTTGTAGTTGTTGGCCAAGTTGCCACCTTTGCCACAAAAATATTTCAAGCACTTGCCTCAACCCCGAGCTACCTACCTACCTACCCCTCCTTCGTTTCCGTTTTGCGTAGAATAACAGTTACATTATCCTTTTTATTGCCACACTTTCCAGACACGAATGCGAGGACGATACTGAAAGAAAAGTGTGTGTGGCACGGGAAAGAGCACGGGTGGCAGAAGTGTCGGCAGAGAAGGAAGGTGGAAAACCAGGCCCAGACACAGACATATTTGGCTTGTGGCAAGCTACTACGACGTGCCCCCGTCTCGACCCTTTCCGTCTTTTCCGTTTTTCAGTTTATTGTGTTCGCCCTTCCCCCGCACTCTTCTCCCTTTTCCGCTTTTATTTTTTCCACTCCGCCATCCGGCCCCCCGTTTTGGGAACTTCCAGGAAATTGTGGGCGAAAAATGTGCATTTATTTTTGCTGGAACTTGCTTCCTTGGGCTGACTCGAGTTGCAGTAAATTGTGGTAAACACGAAGCCAAGTGTTTGGAGAGTATTTACCCGGTTATGCCCCACAGTGGTTGGCACGCACAGTGGGTCGCATCGTCATTTGCATAATTGGCAAACATGATTGCAGGCTGAAGAGATTGTCGTGTCAAGGAATGGACTTTGTTGTGGTGTGCGTAGTGTGTGTGTGTGTGTGTAATTCAAGGGGAATTATGCAAAACAAAAATTGACTTCTAGCCTTAGATTATGGTGATTTTCGTTAGCCGTGAATATTTTATACACGGTGGGTGTTAAATTTCACATAATCGGTACTTGCAAGGAAACGGGAAAATTCATTTTTCTCCATGACTCATTTATGTTAAGAAAGAAAAATGCAAAATACTTGAACATTAATCGATAATACACTTTGGGTACGGGTTTTCTTTTGAAATTATTATTTTGGATTTGGGAAGAACACATTATTTTAAGGCGTTTTCTAAAAGGAGTTCTTTGAAAAACAGAATATAGAAAGTCTTAACTTTCTAAACCATCTAATAAATAAGAGTATCATTTAGTGAAATAACAATTAAACCTTCCCTTGTTTTACCAAATTAATATAAATGTATAATTATCCCACAATTAATTCAAAATAACCCCCTGAAATTTTAAACATATATCTTGATCCCCCTTCCAAATCGCATTATTCACATTCCTAACCGCTAGTTTCAATTGATTCGCATGTTAAACCAGTTTATTATCGCCCATTTTCGACAGGACAATTTCCATTTCGAGCAGCACGCTCTACATCTTTGTTGATGCTAACTGAGCAGCATCTCGCAGCATCCTTACAACTTCATCCCTTTGTAATCATCATCATCTGTTAGCAGCAGCTGATTTATCCCCCCCCCCAAAACACACACACACACACACACAATCACAAGATATTCATATGTTGGTGCTCGTAGCTGTCAGCACATAACCTCAACTCACTTAAGGGGGGTTCCCCAATCTCTATCTCTGCATCTCTCTATCTCTCTCTTTCTTGCTCTCTTTTGGGGCACATAAAGCGCTGATGTGGCATGAAAAAACATATAAATTCTGCCAATCGATGAAGATAAAATACATTTTGTAATACGTTAGTCCACAACCACCAGATCCCACTCCTTCTCTTATCTAAAGGTGGGAGGTTGTGGGTTGCCAGTTGGGCGGACTTCTGAGGTCAACCGTTCGAGTGTGGGCGTCTTATGGGAGTCAACGAAGTGTGCAACGTCAACTCGCACACATACACACACACACAAAGGCATTTCATGTGGGTGTAAGTGAAATTTCAAGTGGCGCTACCAAGGCAAACTTTAGCATTGACTCTTAGTATGCCGCCCCCAACATATGCTTTTGAATACAGTGGAGCTTCTATGAGTTAAACTTGTTAAAATTTGAGTTATCTCAAGTTATACCATACAGAATTGAGTTGCCAAGCTAGAGTTATATGAGTTTTGTGTTAGAAAAGATCATTTTATAAAAGACCAAATGAAAAATTCTTCTTTATTTATTTAAACGAAGCTCGACTGTATATGAATGAGCGTGTGTTGGGAAACCCTTTAAAAGCTTGTTGTTGCCAGACACATAAACGTTTAGCCCATAAACCCTTGATGTATGGAACATAAACACCACACTTGCAAGTGCCACTCATTCGGTGGTTTCTGGGGTATCTGAACGGGGTCCGGGATACGGGGACTCCGGGACTCTCGAGGTATCGTGGAGGCTTGTGGCCCTGGTGTCAGTGGTTAGTGGTGGTTGCTTGCCAGCTAACTGCTAACTGAAATCCAATGTGTGTGTCCGGATACGGGTTTGGGTCTCTCTGGCTCCTGTTCCTGGGTCCGGGC